TTTAAAAAAAAAAAAAACATTTAGCAGTTGGCTGTCCATGGGGAAATGCTTGCTGATTCCTGGGTGAAAGGGCCTGCTGTGGGCCGCTCACCCACCCCAGTGGGCTGGCTGGAAAAGGCAACAGGTCGTGTCTCCCGCAGAGAGGGGCCGGTAACCCCAAGAGCATAGATTTAGTCAAACACAGCAAATTAGCAGGCGACAGCTAAATTGCACATTTATTACCCTGTTTTTTTGTTTTGTTTTTCAAGATTTATTTATTTATGCATACAGAACCGGAGTGCAGGGGCAGTGAGAGGCTTCACCAGAGACAGAGCGGGGAGCAGAACAGGCCGAATGAGGAAGTCCACTGCTGAGGGGAGCAGCGGGCGGGTCAGGAGAGGTCTGCCGCGTGGGGTCACCTCCGGGGCAGGGATCGAGCTCGCACTGAAGCCACCACGGCTTGGCTTGGCTTAGCTTCCCGATGCAGCGCTCTAAACCACTGTAGCACCCGGGAGGGCCATTACCTGTTTTTAATAAAGTTGACTTAATTATAAATATAATATAGGCTTTATATATTTATATATAATATAAATATAGGCTTTAATTTTGAATGACAATGTTGTGAATTAGTTTCAAACAGTCAGTATTGAAGTGGAGGCCGGAACATAGTGGTCTCGTAAGAAGAGCTGGCTTGGGGACTGTCTGTTGTTGCAGAACGTGTGAGTTTGCTGGTTAGACTACTGGGCTGGAAAGCCTAGTAACCAGCGCTCACGTCTGCACCCCGCTACTGAGATTTCATGATGGCACTAGGTCAAAGGAGAATAAAAGATCCAGGGGTCACAGTCCAACTCGCCAACTGCAGGAATCTTCCAAAACAAACTCTCGCTGCCTCCTACATGTCTATTATGTGCCCACTGTGTGCCAACCTCAGTTCTGGGCGCCCTTTCATACAGGGTCATAACCGCCTCGAAAGGCCTTTCATGCCAGTCTGCAGATGGGGAAGCCGGGCTCAGAGAAGGGAGGCAGCACACTGCTGCAGCTGCACCCTGCACCCCGGGACCAGAGGGCCACGGAAGCACATTTCTGGCCGCTCCGGGGGATGCTCAGGGCGCATCTGAGCATCAGGTAGCGGAAGGCCTGGGAGCCCACAGCGTCTGAGCCCCCACCCCAGCACACACACCTCGTGTGACCTCTGTGGGGCTTTTATTTAACACTAAAGAGATTCTGTCGGGCAGAAGAAATCGCCGCCATACCCCAGTGCTCCAAAAGTTCCTACAGTCAGTCGTTCCCGGGCCTGCACAGGCACAGGTGAAGCCTGAGGCGGGGGGCGGGCACTGGAGGGGCTCTGGGTGGGTGTCGCCATGCCTGCTCGGGTTTGCAGGGTTCAGACTGCGCTCTGGCTTTCCACCCTGCGTGAATTCCCCACAAGCCCCGAATCCCGGCTGATGACCCCCGCTGCGCTCCCCCAGGTGTGGCCGCAAGCGGTGCCTCCTGCTCACCATCCTCATCAACGCCGTATCCGGGGTGCTCATGGCCGTCTCCCCGACCTACACGTGGATGGTA